GCCGTAGGCAGCAAGGAGGCCCCCACGTTCTCTAAGGCCCAGCACGTGTTCACTGGGGCTGAAATACACTGCAGCAAGGGGGGCCCCTCCCTGCAGGGCCCCCTTCCCCTGTGGAGGGGGCCCCCCCTCTTGTTTTCCTTGCTGCAGCGGTGGGGGAGAGGGGGCCCCTGCAAGGGAGGCTGGGCCCACACCCTCTCCAGCACCATATGGGGGCCCTGGGGCCCCTCCTCTGCTGTACAGGGGGGCCCCCTGAAACAACGGGTATACCCTGATGGTGTTGGCTACAGCAGCAAAGAGGAAGGACCCACAGTCCGATATCTCCATAGCCTTCACACTACCGGTGCAGCCAACCCTCTCAACAGAGACAGGGAGATGGGGGCCCCAGGGGGGCCCCCAAGGGGGGCCCCCATTGGGGCCCCAAGGGGGGCCCCAGGGCTCTGTGGGGGCCCCTCTCGAAACACTGGAAAGGGCCCCCAATGGGGGCCCCTGGGACTCCAACCCCGCAGGGGCCCCACAGGGGGCCCCTTCGGGGGCCCCAGAGTGGATCGCTTGGGTAGCTCCAAAGGAGTGCTCATCGGGGGCCCCTTGGTGGGGGGCCCCACAGGGGGCCCTTCCGGGGGCCCCCCCGGGCCCCCCTGTCTGTTTCATGCGGCGAAACAGTCAGGATAAAGATTAGGAGGTGATGGAAGAAGCAGGGATAAAGTATTGGGGCCCCAAGGATATTCTTTTTTACTAAATATGATGCATTACAAACCCTAAACCCTAATAGCTGCAGCAAATGAGGGGCCCCAGGGGCCCCCGATCTTCTGGTCCTCAGGCCCTAGAGGGGGTACTGTGAATTCATTTGGCTGTAACAACAAAAAAACTGAACTCAATAACAGGTAATGGCGACAAAGGGGGGCCCCCAGGCGGGGGCCCCTCCTTCACAACATCAGAGGGGGCCCCCAGGGGGCCCCCAGGGGGCCCCCACGTGGTGCTCCGATCGGTATCATTGAATCGTAAACCCTAAACCCTAAACCCTTATACTCAATCTAGAAGCCCTAGACGCCTAAGCAAAAATGATAAGCCTGTAGACTGAAACACTAAACCCTAAACCCTAGACCCGAAACCCTAAACCCTACAGCGAGTCACCCCGAAACACTAACCGTTGTACTGAAACCCTAAACCCTAAAACCCTAGACTGAAACCCT